GTATATATAATACACCATAAAATGTCAGTTAGGCCTAATGTTTCAGTTTTTACTTTCAAGACAATGTACTTAAATTTTTTTTTTCTAGAGCTAATGTTCATTTTAATACCAATAGCCTAATTGATTTAATGGAGTTGTATTTCGACTAAAGAGTTATTTCTGATCTCTTGGCTATTTATCCCAGATTCAGCGGTGAATTACACTTTTAACTGTACCACTATCGAATAAATTCTGTGTATTTTAATGAGTTTGTTCTAGCGAATGCGTGAGCGTTTATGAGTGGGCCAATGTACAGTATCTGCAATTTATTCGCCCCAATCTGGGATAAACTGCCAAAGATGTTCAGGGAATGAATTACTTAATTTAATGAGTTTGTTCCGGCGAATGCATGAGTGAATTGGAGTTGCTATAGGATGGATTAATGTACAGACTGTACTGGGGTATGTCAGTTTGTAATCTATTATACACGCATTTAGCAAAAAATGGTAACAATGAGTTAATACCTATACAAATTAAAATCATATTTAATATTACATGGGTTAAAAACGACGCGAGGTAAGGCCAAACGACCTCGGAAACGAAAACCTCAGCAGAAGCTGGAGAAAAGGATTCTTGAAGAAACCCAAACGAACACATTTGAGAGAAGCATCATCGGACAGCGAGTTCCAAAGTGAAGTGGTGAAAAATTGTTAGCAAGCTTTAAGTACTTTTTCACAAAGTTTTAAAATTTTGCTAAAAAAAATGTTAGTATAATGACACTTGGCTTTTTTGGGAGGGTAGTTGATACTGAATCGCTCAAATCTACAACAAATTCGCTTCTGAACAAAGTGTGTCATTATTTGGATAATTTACGGAATATTCGCTAATAATTCCATACCATTCATAGTGGCCATTCATTTTAAAATGTTAAAACTTAATACACACGATAAAATACAAATGAAGTGCCTATAAATGAAAGAAATCCAATGAAATAATTGTCTTGGAGGTTCAAATATTCTATATTAAGTACCCCCAAAATAAGATGCAATCCAAATTTTTGTCATTTTCAATTTTTATTCGAAACAAGCATTATGTAGGAGCTTAGAAAAAAAGTCGCAAGGTGTCGCAAATGTCAACTCTTTAGTAAACCATTACCAAAATGGAGAATCTTTTAGATGTTTCACAACCATCCTATTTGCACCCACGTACACCAATGTGAGCAAAGTTGGGTGCAACAAAGATTTGTGTTGCTATTGGTGGAAGCTTTCATCCAATCTTGGGGTACAAAATGTTGCTTTTCTGTACTCTCTTGGTCTCTTGGAGATTTGTTAGCTAAAATATATTATAATAATATTGAATAAAAAAAAAAAAAAAAAAAAAAAAAGCACCAGTTGGTTGAGCTTTATACGTTCCGAAGCTGGTATGGACTATAACTTGCATCCAATAGGTGGTTTGTCAAGCAACTGATTTTTGATAGGCTACTGTACCTAAGTGGTTAATTGGGAAGCGACACGGAAATACAAAATCCGTCACAAAAATACCCCTATAAGGCCCCATAAAAAATGATTAGTTTATCACCCTACCAAAGAATAAAAACTGATGAGGGAGGGAGTTTTTTTTTTGCTAACCCGCCCCCATTTTACCGATGTTTGCAAGTAAATCAATGGTTAGTGAAAATATATAAAAAGTCATAAAGATGGAATCAAAGTTATATTTAAAAAATATGTTTTTGTTGTACCAGTAAACATATTTGCAAGTAATCCTAAGCTTTTCAAGTGAAAAAAGATTGAATACGACTGTTTGAAATAGGCCTAGGCCTATATGTTCATTGAAAAAAAAAATCAGAATCCAAAAGTGATGAGGGGTGGGGGGTGATAAACTAATATTGTTTATGGGGCCTAATAAAAGTCACTAAAATGACATGTTGAGATTTGATTTTAAGATGTTCCATGGAAATGTTTCAGTTTTAACTGAAATGTTTGACGTTTCACTGTTTGTAATGTTTCCATATTGTCTGTCAAGCAACTTGAACATTCCGATTCTCCGATATAAATCTGCAAGTATGCCCATTGATGGCAATCTGAAACAAGAAATGCAGATTTGTGTCGGTTTTCGTACATCATTCTACGAATTAATGAATAAACGTCTACAGAGAGGCCAGGATAGTCAAATTAACTAGAAACTCCTTGATGCGGGAATACTTTGCAAAGCCTTCAAATCGGCGGTGTCTTTGAAATCGATTCCGTATTTTGATGTGTTTTACAAACGTAATTTTGGAAACGTACGTGCTCTGCACTGGGTTATTCATTTCGCTTTCTCTCATGAATCAATCTGCAGTTTAACTATCAACACCTATTAGGCAGGTTTAACTGCCCAAGGTTAATAAGCAAAAGCAGTTCCGCCGACGTTAAAGAACTTCACCCGTGACTTCATTTAACTCAAATTCTGACATGTTTATTAATTATACACGTTGCCAAAATGATATGTTGCCGCCCTCTATAATAATTAATCAGGACGCGATAGTATTTTCCATTAGGCTGAGATTATGACAATACACATTGCAATAAAGTCCCTTTGAACTGTTTGAAGTGACATTAACACTATCTAAATCACCGTAATTAACCATAAATGCAATAATTACATGTCCACTATTATTATAATAATAGGCTTTCTATTCGTCCGGGCTGTCAAATGGGTTGAAACCGCCACTGACTCCACGCACTGAGTGCTGGGGAATTTATTAATTATTTAAATAGGAAATATGCATACCAAACAAAGTTTGTATGTATATAGATGGTTTTAAGTTTTCATTTTCCACATTTTTAAGAACTCAGAACTTTCAAAATGAAGATGAAGTGAAATACCAGGAAGTGTTTTAGGCCCTACTATAATTTATCAACGATCTGCCAATAGTAATTTTCCAAAATTTTCGACGAAAAGAGTAGGATTGACGAACGTGTTTTTAATTACAATATTGAGGATTTGCGAAACTCTACACGTACACATTTAAAATGGAAAAAAAAAATGATTTACGAAACAGCTTGCTACCTACAGTAAAATATCAAAGGGTTCTATGAATTATCTCACCAACGTCACCTTGCTGGATGAGAAGGAGGAACTGAAACTCTCAGCGCCATCCATGGGGTCAGCCAGGCATGAAATAGCCAATCAGCGAACGAGCTGATTCAAGCGGTAGGCTGTACTTATTTTTCTAGCAAAAGACACGCGAGCAAGATTTTGTTGATAAGTTAGAACGTACTTTCTGTTGTTAGAAGAGAAGTAGTGTCAGCATTGATGCTTCACAAGTGTATTTTTGGAATATATACTGGATATCATGTTCAAGTCATGGAAATAGAATCACAAACTCAATGTATTTTCGAATGGCGGAGCTAGTACATTGTAATTCATGCCCACTTCAGCTGGACATTTTGTGTTGTGCAGGGAAGGGGATGTATAACTCAACCACAAGCAAGGCCTCCTGTCAACTCGTCTCGCTACCTCTGCACCACCGGGTACTCGCTATCGGCTGCTGCTGCTCTGAGGATCCTAGCAAAAGTATTGTTTGTATTGGTAAACAGAGTCTGTCATCAGAATTAGTAACTTTAACATGAACTGGCATCATTTTCTAAGGATATTTATGGTGATTTATATGTGTCTTATCCCTTTTGCCGCGACTTATTCAGTAAGCAAATTGAGAAAAGGAATGGGGTGTGCAAACGATAAAGAATCGGTAAGATAAGAAGTAGAATGAAAACGAAATTGTCTGTCTCAGACGAATGTCATTTGTCAAGCTGACGGCATTTATCTGAAGTTGTGTGTCTTTTAAATTTCTCCTAAACTAAGCTTACCTTGTTCTAGTCTTTTGTTGTTTTTGTACTAACCTTTTACTTTGCATAGAATACAGCCATTATGTAGGACCTGGAGACGTTTTCTTAATGAAAAGGGTGTGAAAAACAGTTGGCTACTTAGTTTACCTCCAGTCCATTACAGTACATAGAATAAGCACCATCTAGAGATGTGATATTATTCAAACAGTAGCCTAGGGCCTAGATAGGCCTCCTCTACAGTATGGCTAAATAGAGCAATCAGTATCAGGCATAGCAAATAATAATGCAATGTTTTGACTTTTGTGTATTTTCATAAATCTAAACATGTAATAATAAATCGCGATAACAAAGGGCAAGGCCTAGACAAGCCATTTCCCAATCCTACTAAACACTGGAGTGTATAAAGTGCAAGATCTTACCACCGGGGAGCACATGTAGGTACTTGCTTGTTTGTTTATTAATGAATAAAATTTCCCCAAACCTTTCAGTTGTTAAAAGTCTGTAACACACAATTTGTTTGTTCTGTTTAGGAGCTGAAACTTTGGTAACTGTCTGTTTTGCCTTTGAGAAAACAATTCCCAAATGTTTTAAAAAATAATAAAAATAAAAAAAAAAAATTAAGAAAAAACCAAAAGTATATAAACTTTCTGCTAAGGCCAAATAAGCAGTTTTTTACAAAAGTTGTTTTATTTATGATAATTTTTATATATAGGACGAATGAATACGTCCACATTATTAGCTGTAAAAAATAGGCCTACTGTGTAATGAACTCAATTTTCATGTCATTCAAAATGTTTCCAGTGAAAATGAAAGAGAAATGAAAAGGTCTGGTTTGTATCAATGCTATTTCTTCACAGCCATGTCCTCCAGTGCACTAAAGTTTAGGGAAACTTTCATTTACTGTACATAGAGACATAATAAACTTTCTACATAATCTGCTGTAAATCATAATCAGATCACATTGCTCAACCTTCTGAAGACTTAACTTTATCAAAATAGAATTATTATTACTGGTAATACTGTACTATTTTTATTATTCTTCATATTATTATTTATTGTTATTATTTTGTTGTAGTTGTTCTTCTTGTCCAGCTGCCACCGTATTCATAATGATGATTTTGCAACTACAGTATGATAGGCTACCATGCAGGACAGACTTTAGTTCCATGAAAATGATGAATTTTTTTATTTTTTTATTTTTCAAATTTATTTAAAATGTCTCTTGGGACAGGGTATGACTTACAGTAGTCACAGACATGATCGGCAGTCAGCAAACAAGCCGCTGCCAATGCCAATAATGAATCAAGCAGATATCCTAAGGCCAAGGAAGAATATTATTGTTTTTATTATTTTTATTGTTAATTGTTGTTATTGTGTCAGATGATACAGTATTGAAAACACATACAGTAAAGATACAGTATTGTAGTGTTTTAAATACAGAATTTGTAAATTTTTCCATTAATTTATTCCTTTCTACTTTCCAAAAAAAACAAACATACTGTACTTCTAAAATCATATTTGGATTCAAAATTGATAATTCAAAATTATTTGACCAATAAATTATTGCATTTTTCTCTTCTTCAGAGCAAAACAAATTCTTTTTTGTGGCGTGTCCGACGAGAACCAGGCCCGCCTGCTTATTTCTTCGGGACAATTCATGTTCCCTATACACGAGTCTGGGACTACATACCTAGCAACACAAAACGTGCATTTCGAGATAGCAAAAATATTTTTTTTGAGTTGGATTTGACAGACTCTAAGACAATAAACGATCTAACTTACTGTCAAATGCTACCGCAGGGGGAAAAACTTCAAGATGTACTCCCGGAAAGCATATACCTTCGCTTAAAAAGTCATCTGGAATATGTTCGGTTAATGATGCCCTCTTGGATGACGCAGGACCAGAGGGGTAAAGGACTTTACGCTGATTATCTATTTAATGCAATTGCTGGTAATTGGGAACAAAAGCGCCCAGTGTGGGTGATGTTACTGGTGAATTCTCTGACCGAAGCAGATGTGAAGTCTAAAGGGATACCAGTTCTGGACTTGTACTTAGCACAAGAGGCTAACCGTTCTAATAAAGGGACGGGTGCAGTGGAAAAGGTAGAGGAACAATGTGTACCCCTAAATGGACTTAATTTTTCACAGGTAAGAATCTTTAACTTTGTATATAAAACAAAGAAACTATGATAATGTCATCAAACAATTTCATCATTGTATTGCTCATTTAAAGATATGTACAGTATTGCTGCCACCCAAATATTCAAGAACAATATTTATTGTATAACTTCAAAAGTTAAAATAATTTTTTGAATTGTTCATTTAAAAGTACCACATAGCAATTTTTAAGAAGTCCTAGTCCAGTGGCGGATTCAGGGGTGGGGGAATCTCTGGCCCGGGTCCCCCTAAATTTTTCAAACTCAAAATGGAGTAAAAAGGAAATTATATTCACTTGAAGTCCATAAGTGCCCTTTCCGGCCATCTAGAGGTACTGTACCATAATTTTTCTTACCTCAGCCCCAGCCATGATGGGGCTGAGGTGGGTGGACACTCTGTTTGAGTCCGTTCCCGGGCCTCTTCCATTTTGTTTTGCTGGATCCGCCAACTGCAGTCAGGGAAAAAATTGTATTTCTTTAGTTGTCAGAGAGTTCACATTAAGGACTCGTATTGATATACCTGTCCGCATTAAAATAAAGAAAAATTTAAATTAGAAATGATTTCGGTAAACATCTGTTTGCCTTCCTATTTTAGCCTGATAGATTTTTCAGGTTTTTGAAAAATTAAATTCAATGTTTGAATTACTTATTGCCTGTGTCATTAGAAATTTTTTAGTGTATTTATAATATCAATACAGTATCAGTACTTTTCAAGGACAAGTAAAAAGGATTTCTGCCATCTCTTTGAGAGATTAAAGAAATAATAAACAATAAATAAACCAAACTGTTTATTTAAAATGCCTCATTGTTAATTTGATATTTTGAAGGAAATGTTTATTATTGAATAAAAAAGCCATACAAACAATGTTGTTTAATTAGTGTCCCCTCCCAAGTGCCACTTTTTTCTGCCAGTAACATTTGGAAAAGAGATATAACATTTTAATATAAAAAAAAAGAAAAAAAAGAAAAATGGTATACTACGGTATTGTCTAAAGTGGTAAAAAAAACCTTTTGTATTGACATTTACTGTATTGTTGTGTAATTGATTCTTGAGAAAATCTGTTTCAACTTTGGTACGGATGTATAATATCTGGATTGTATTTGATCTGAGACTTGGTACTGAATTGTACTTGGAACAACCTTTAGTCATATCTAAAATCTGTGTAGAACAGTACAGTACTGTAGAATACTGTACTTGTACCTTGGTTTTTGGTACCTTATTTTACATAAATTTAATAATTCAGTGTGTAGGGCTATTTACGTACAGTATCTCCTTTTTTGTTAGCCACTAAAGCTCCTAATCCCAAACCTGAAAATAAATAAAAAAGATATTTTTTTTTTGTTTTTATTGTGAAGAAATTTAATAGCAATATGTAAAGAAACCTGAAAAGGAAGAATTTTTTACTGATTTAATGTCCCAAATATATGCTTACAAACAAAGTCTTCTTTCAATGCACATATTTTCTTCATTATACCCTTTTCCCTTATTCACTTATCCCAGTACATTTTCTGTGATGAATATAGTACAATTTGTCCCATTAAATACATTATGCCCCATGGATATTTTTACGCCTGATTTAGGCTATGAAATATTTAACAATGTAAAAATGAGGTACAGTACTGTACTGTAGAAAGTACCGGTATATCAAATGGCTTAAAGTACACCAAAAGTTAGTTGGATTTTGAACAGCTTTGACTTCATGTTAGGCAATATCACCTTTTAAGTTCTACTGTATTCACAGCTATTTAAAACACCCATCATTACACTGTATCCTGTTAGGTTTTAGCAGGATTAACAGATGAAAAGATGGTAATGTATGTCAATTACTGGCAAAAGCTCTACCTTCACAAAAACAAAGCAACTGGACTTTCTGTGGCTGGTTGTAATAAAAAAAACAGAACATAGGGATTATCCTCATTGCCATATAAATGGGAATTGAAAATACTTTTCAGTATAAATGCTGTATAAACGAAAAATCCAAAAAAAAAAAAAAAAAAAAGATTATAAAGAAAATTATGAAGTAAAATAAACCCCAAAAAACAGGGAAACAAACTTGACGTTGGTGATTCTCCAAACTACAGTATAAATGGTAATAGCGAGGGTGTGGAGAGTACTAACCACTGCGCCATAGAACCCGACCATGCAGAGCAGGTCAGTGTACTGTAGTTTGTCTTACTTATTTCACAGGTTAGGGAAGGAAAAATGTATTTTGCTATAATTTTGCACAAGCTGTAGGTACAGTAGGCCTACAATATATGGTAGTTTAAAACACTTTAAAGGATGCAAATTGTGTTATTAATGTAAAGTTTAACCTACAGGTACTCATATTTTTATGTAGAATGATGTCATATTTTGGTCTTTTGCTTGGACAAAGTTTAAAGAACATCCTAGCATGGAAATTGACCAAAGTGGTGGACAGAAAAACATTGAGTATAAAGCATAGAAAAACAGGATGCATACTGTAGCAGAAACAAAGAATAGTTAACAAAAATAATGCCTTTCCTCTAGTGTGGGAAAAGTCAATTAGGATGGATTTTAACATTTTTAAGATTATGAAGTGCATCCAGACACTGAACAGTCAATTTACTGTAAGTTAAATACCGGGATCAATACATACTGTAAGACATGCCCACAAAGAAGCAAGTGTGAGTGTGGTTTCACTGTTGTATCAGTCAGGTTGGTGGTTACTGTATTTGGCAAAGTACAACCACAAAAATATTTAATTTTTGCTTGGAATGTTGTGTCCTCTGAGGGTGTTCTGCCTTGCATTCAGGAATGTTGAAGGTGTTCCATATTATTAAGCTGTGTGGCACTTATTATCATCCAATTTATATTGTCAATGAAATGATTAATTAGGTAATCAAAAGTAATAGAATGGAAATAGCATGGCATACTGTACACTGTAAATTAAGGCCACTTCCTGGCACTGCAGTTTAGTTACAGTAGTATGGTTTTTTCATAGTGGTACTATAAGCATGAATGAATACATTACCAATTTGTCATAAGTTCTATTGTAAACTAGATCACCTTTCAGTGTTAGATTTCTTATTTTACAGTTAGTTAATTCTACTCTACATTTTTACAGTACATCATATTTTAGTGGGATTTATTATGACCTCATGTAGACAAAGTCATCACTTTGGTTGAAAAATCAAATTAATTCCTGCATGGATTGAACCAGCTAAAAGCTGATGCTGTGATTTCAAATGGGAGGCCTAGTTGCCTTTGATTGCTTTTGGTGTTTTCTCCTTGTCCTTGACATTAGTACAAAAGCTTCTAGTACAGCTGTATGGCAGAAAGATTGCAATGATTATAGAAAGCAATACTACTTGAGAGGAAGAATCTTGGCAAATCAAAAACCTGCCCCAGATATATTGAGAGTCATCGCAAAGTGTTTTGACAGATCTAGCGGAGGAAGCCCTACAGATACATAAGCGGAAATGTCTGACCATCTGTGTTGATTTGTGTTAATATTGTTTATGTAAGCAGACTAGAACATGTGAAAAAGCAACATATGAATGATACCATGTCCATTGTACAGTAACTAGGGTGAACCATACATGTTTTTTCAAATTATTCCACTTGTTTTTCTGGGGCTGCATTGGGTTTTTTTTTTAAAGATAGCAGGGCAGAACTCTTTCAAATTGAAACTCCCGCAGTGCTGTTGGAGGTTGTAGGCAATAGCGGTGGGTTTGATGCTCATAGCAACCACAGCTTACTTAATTGCCACATGGTGTCTTGAAAATATTGCCTGCCTTTTGGGAACTCTCCTTATCACCCTTTAATTTCCTTCCCAGTTGACCATGAGGAAGTGCCAACATTTTTAGACGCCAACATTAATTTTAATCTAATGTCAACAAATTATTAATATGCCAAAAATATTCAGATGTCAATGTTATTACTATTGCTTTCTAAGAAATGAAGTTGGATTTGATTATTCTTTGCATACAGTACTGTAAAATACTGTACACTGGAGTAATGATGTCTAACTGTATTATAGCACATCATTTTTTCCTCTCTGTATACAATAGATTGTTATTGGCCTTGCAAGTTTATAAAAGATTTAATTGGAAATTATTGTAAAGATAAGATTCTTTTAGATAACAGTAGATTCCATGATGCAAGAAATTGTACAGTTATAGTCATATGAATGGTGTATTGTTGATTGAGGCAATTGATTTGAAACATTTGAATTGTGTTTTTGCAATGAGATTGTTATTGTCATATTGGTTTTTTTTTTGGAAAATACACATAAAAAATCTGAGATGGGTTAAACAAAATCAGGAAGGGGAGGTGATAATAAACAAGTATTATAATTTATTATTTTTTTTTACAAATTTGGCCTGCTTTAGGCCAAATAATAAATAATTACTAGTTTCTCAACCCCTCGCGCATCCATTTTTTCTGCCTCACCAAAATTTATTTATTTTTTTTTATTCCTTTGTTTTACGAAATGTACGAAAATATAGCTAACTGACATCAGTAAAATTTCTCTTGATCGTTTGTGGTTGGGGATGCATGGTATGAATCATGAAAGTATACTGTAGTAGCCCATCTTGGATTTGCCATCTCGGAGTGAACAAAAAAAGTGCCCTCATTCTCATTTTTTTTTCAAAATATTAAGACAAGAAACTTTTTTTTTATTTGGCCATAAGTGTCTATCTGCAAGTTGCAACTTATTCTTATAATTACAATTTTACCATGTACTATCAGTATAACTACAGTATAGTAACATTTGTTTGATGGCTGAATGTTCATGATTGTTGTATTGTATGTAAAACTACAGTGTTCTGGAACAGGCAACTTAACCTTCTACTAATACTGGGACAGTATTTTCAAAACAATGATTTTAATTAGTGTTTTTATTTGTTTAAGTGTAATACTACTGTACTGTATTATACTGTACAGTATGTTTTTTTGTATGCTAGAAGCGTCAACTTAATGTATTTGATTGAGAGAATCAATAAATTAAAAAATATTTTTAAGAAATT